GTGGCGCTGCGGCGTGTGAGGAGCCGGGCCCTGCTGTCGTGAGCGTGGCGCTGCGGCGTGTGAGGAGCCGGGCCCTGCTGTCGTGAGCGTGGCGCTGCGGCGTGTGAGGAGCCGGGCCCTGCTGTCGTGAGCGTGGCGCTGCGGCGTGTGAGGAGCCGGGCCCTGCTGTCGTGAGCGTGGCGCTGCGGCGTGTGAGGAGCCGGGCCCTGCTGTCGTGAGCGTGGCGCTGCGGCGTGTGAGGAGCCGGGCCCTGCTGTGTTGTGAGTGTTCCCCTGCGGCGTGTGCGGAGCTGGGCTCTGCTGGTGCAGTACATGGTAGGAACAGAGCATCTCACAGTCTTGTGCCCACTTCTGCATTTTGGTGTGTCCATGTGGCATTCACCTGCGGGACCAAGTTGCTCCCAGCATCCCTGCAGTGAAGCCTGTGAGCACTTCCCCTGTATCTGGAGCCATGATAGTTTTAACACCTAGAAGACTCACCTTTGTGAGGTGAGAGCTGGGACTAAGTTGCTTTCAGGACACATTTCAAAGTCAGTTCTTCCTTTAGCCTGGGGCAGAGTTGTAACCGGGAAGGGGCAACCCTTTCAGGACTACCACAAGCTTCAGAATATTATAGAAAAGCCAAAAAAAAAAAAAATTCCGTGACTGGAATTTCTGGATCAGTGTAGACCTCCAGGGCTAGGGTTCCAGATACCACAGGCTTATCCTATTAAAGTTTATGGAAGGTTTTGGGCCTCCATTGATATTCATTCTGTTTTATTCCAATCTCAAATTACAAGTTAAAGAAAACAAAAGGAGAAATCGTATCCTTTAAACTCATTTATTAATTATGTGCATTTGCCAATTGGATGAAAAACAAGATGCCAACCTCTTGCCAAAAGCCAAGTGGAACTGAGGTTAAGTTATATACTTACCCAAAGAAAACTTCATATAAATCTAGTTAATATTTTACATCTAGAACTATCTATCTATGTGTGTGCTCAGTTGCTCAGTCATGTCTGACTCTTTGCTGCCATATGGACTGTAGCCCACCAGGCTCCTCTGTCCATGGAATTTTCCAGATAAAAATACTGGAATGGGTTGCCATTTCCTACTCCAGGGTATCTGCCTGACTCAGGGATCAAACCCACATCTCTTGTTTCTCTTGCATTGGCAGGTGGATTCTTTACCACTGAACCAACAGGGAAGCCCATCTATCTGTGTATCTGTGTACATTTATATGTACTGATATATATAAGGACATATCAGATGTCACCTGATTTCCAGATAGTGAACCTTGCAATATTTCATTACAAATACACTCTTCAAAAGCATAATTTTTCACTTAATGACTAGGACCAATCTATCCAAAATACACTTTTGATAAGAATATGAGATATGTGGGAAAGACAAGGAAGAAGAATCTAGGAAAACCACTAATGCCAAAATCGAACTGAAGATGCAAGGACCTGCCAAGGTCATGCAAAGGGCGTGCTGTGTGTACCTGGCCGCTGATGTGGTCAGCCAGGCTCCACGAAGCTCTCAGCTCAACTGCAAAGACCAGTATAGGATTTTCTCACCCACCCTTCTTTCTACTTTGGTTTCTGCGTGAATTTAAGTAAATACATTCTTCCTCTGGAGGGGTGCGTCCACCTTCTGGTGTGGGTCTGGTTACTGGCTTCAGAGAGGAACCAGACTATTGAACTTGGCCACGAGAAGCGCGGTTTAGGACGCCCGTGAGCCACAGTCCTGTTTGCACAGGGAGAGGAGCTGGCTGCAGGGATCAGGGAGCTGCTTCTGCTGCTGCATTTCCACGAGCAGACTCGATCAACAGCACCGGGACGTGGGAAGCCCCAGCAGGCTCCGTCCCCCTCTGGGATGAGGCCAGTCTGGGGACTTGAGCCTGACACAGAACTTCTACATCTAATATTAAAGACACCCGAGCAACAGCACGTCCCCAGGAGGCTCTTTCTCTGAAGAATCAGCGTCAAGGTTGTGTGGCCTTCTCTTTCCTGACCTATTGTCTGAGACCACGCAGATATAAAAGGCATCTTCTTTTGAAGAGAGTTAAGGAAACAATGCATAATAGTTGCTACTTAGCTCTGGGAGTTGGTGATGGACAGGGAGGCCTGGTGTGTTGTGGTTCATGGGGTCGCAAAGAGTCGGACAGGACTGAGCGACTGAACTGAACTGAACTGAAACATCTTACTAACATAATTATCAAACAAACGCAAGCAAAAGGTTATAAATTGAGTGAGTAAATTTAGAATTTCATTTTGTCCTTAGATTTCCCTTTCTCAAACCTTGAGAGCCAGAGTAAATCAACTCCACACTCTGGAGGTGGGACAGGGGAGTCTTGAGTACAGTCACCAGGTGGGCAAGATTCAAGGATACTGGTGAGACCCCAGTGTGCTTCTGGTTTTATCCGGTTGTGCCTTGGTGGGAAAACATTTCACAGCAGTAACTCTGTCAATATTACTCCTCGTAGGGTGTCTCTGATTCCTCTCGACTTATTTCACTGACAAAAATCATGTTTTTAATCTGCTTTGCATCACTGAGCCAACTGAGAAAATAGGTCCTGTTCCTCGTGAATTATTGAAGCTTGTTGTCAGCAACTATAAACCCCGGAGGCAGATGACAGCCCCAGAAGCTGAGAAAAGACAGCCCAATCTGTGGAGCCCAGTGGGGGAGGAAAGGGAGAAAGAAAATCACTCTTGAATGGAAAATTGAAGAAACTCCTGTTTCGGTTTAGAATATGGGTATGAGGGAGCTCTTCACAAACAACCCAAATCAAAACTGATGAAAAAGTCTTCTTGGATAAAGTTTTATGCTATTTCTCTTGTACTTCTTTCCTTAACATCTTACTTGGTTGGGATCAGAATCGATCAAAGTGATTTAAATGATAAGTTTCAGAGGTAAAGCTTGTGGGCACTTAACATAGATATTGATTCCAAAAAGTTAGTGTGTAAAATAAAACAAGTCTGTTTATCACCAGATGGAACTAAAATGAAGAACACCGAGTATTTTCCTGGGCTTCCTGTGTGTCCTGTTCTCCCTGTTGTCAGTTTTAATTCACGATCTATTCATTCAGTGAGTACCTGCTGAAGTCTCTCAGTAACTTCCTCTCTGTTCTTTTTAACACTTACTTGGCCACGCTGGGTCTCAGTCGCTGCGCAGGGTCCCCGTTGCAGTGTGTGGGCTTCTCTCTCGTTGTGGTGCTGGAGGCCTAGTTGTCCCAAGCCATGTGGGATCTTCGTTCCCAGACCAGGGGTCGAACGCATGTCCCCTGCATTGGAAGGCAGGTTCTTAACCACTGGACCACGAGGGAAGTCCCTCTCTGCTCAGTCTTGGGTAGGGAGGCGCCTTCCCCTGTCTGAGTCCCAGGGGCCTGCATCTGTCTGACCCTAAGAGTGAATGCCCCCTTAAGTGTGACACCCTTGGCACCTCACTCGCCCACCCGAGTCTAAGCCCTGCCTCCATAAAGTTCACTTTGGTGAATGTTATGACTCCAGAGACATCTTGGGTATAAAGATCTTGTCTCTTCTGTCTCCTCATAGTGGAAAGCTAGTAAAAATGTAAACAGCTCGCCCTGACTCCAAGGTTAATCACACCCCCAAGCCCAGCTGTAGTGGCTGCTTTCCAAAGGAGCTGCCCACACTGGGGGTAAGGAAGCACCATCGCACCAAGGGAGGTCACGAGGGCACTTGCTGAATGCTGACACTGGACATTCTTGCTCAGTGTTGATCGCTTCTTTGGTTCCTGCCTTGTGCTTTGGCTCTGAGCTTTGCTAACTGTGAATTTTGGCTCTGGTTCCTTTTGGGCTTCTGCCCGCTGGCGTCCACGTTTTCTCAGTAGCAGACCTTGCGGCTCTGACCATCGGCTGTGTCCTTGCTCTGGCTTGTTGCATCCATTCCCTTTAGGTCTCCTGCTCTCTTTTCTCCACAGCCCTGGGCTGAGGTCCTAAGGCCATGTCACAATCCTAGGTTGGATCACTGACAGTGTGTCCTGGAAAGGAGAAGGGAGACCAGAAACATTTGTTTTCTATTATTCTTCATGAAAAACAGACTAAAAAAAATAGATTCTGCCCTTCTTTACTACATAGGTGTGTTATAAAGATTAACATCCGTGAAGCCTGTGTGGATTAATGTAAAAAGCAGCCATGTAGAAGATTGCCAAGCTATTGCCTTGGCAACATCCCCACGTTAGGAACAGATCTAAAACACAAGCTGTCATTGTAAAGTAAGGAGGCTGTTTTTTTCCCCTACCAAATGCATCAAACTGTTTACTTCTAGGTGACTCTTGTCCCTTTCAAATTAGTCATTATGGGGAAATGATCACTTATTTCAGCAGTTAATGCCCACTCAAAAAATTTTTTTTGCTCAACTTTCGGTATTTCCTTTAAGGACAGAGGCTTTTTTTCTTTTCCCCAAATCTCCTTAGTGGTAAAGTGTCTTTATTTTATCAAGTCTGTCCTGAATTTAAAACAACCAAATCTGGAAGGAAAGTCAGCCATGAGTCAGGGAAATATTGGAGAGAGACAGATACACAGAGAGAAATGGATTGATTCCACCTGAAACTAAAAAGAAAAAAAGACTTGACTCTACAGTAGTAAGGTGGATATGTGTCTGCAGGCATGCATGTGGCAGGTGGAATGATTGTGTATAGGAAAGTCATAGAGAATAGCCTTGGTATTTCAATTTGTTGGTAGTGACTTTACGTCCCACTGAACAAAGAATGCAAATCTAACAGGCCATGCATGCTACAGCTTCCATCCCTGTCAGGACAATTTCTCAGCTTCAGTCTTGATTAGAAGCATAATTTTTTTTTTTTTAACAGACCATGCTGTCAGCTGGAAGGAAAAAGTCCCACAGGGCACATCACAGAAATATCTTTCCACCCAGGATTCACATAGCTTTGTCATCATATCTGATCTCTGCTGCCGCAGATAACCAGCCAACAGAACTGGACATGCAGACTTGGGAAGGCTTTCAATTGAATTTTTGAGAAAAAGGTTACTATACAGATTGGTCAGCTCCTTTTGTGCCACTGCCACTATTCTCTTGGTCCAGTATTCCTTCCCTCAGGCCTCTCTGTGCCTTTATAAAGATCAGCAATTATTTTCAGCTCCAAGCAGGATGCTGCCACGCAGGGGCTCCCCAGAGGCAATAAGTCTGGGAGAGAAGGTGGCTGATTTACAGATCAACAGCTACCTGGTAGAGACTGTGGGATACCTTGCTGTCAACACCAAAGGATTGAAGAGCATAGCTTTGTGAGCCATTAAAAAAAAATCTGTAAGAAAAAAAAAAAAAGAGGAATCAAAATCTTTTCTACTCCTCTTGAAAAATCAAGTGGTTTCTTTCTTTCTCTTTGGTAGCTAATGCCATTTTTAGATGCGTATGAAAAAGACAGAAACATTCTTGCTTTGTGAATTCTGGTATTTTAACTCATACTGTGTGTAATCTAGCCAACATTAACAATAGACTGAATTCTCTGTGTTTGCAATATTTCCTGGAACCTCAGGGGGGTCTGCCTGTCAGATGCTACTGAGGACCACTTAAGGCTAAGTCAGTACATAGGTGCTCAGCCGAATGTGCCTGCTATTGACTCTCAGCTGTACTGTTCACCTCCTCAACCTGTAATTGGCATTTCTCCCTTCCCAACTGTCCAGTACTATCAACTTGCCACATTTCAGGAACTGAAATGCCAGAGTATCCTGAGGTCCCATGTTCAGGTTTTTCTTTTTTTTTTTTCCCTATTTTTATCCCTCTGGTAGATACTACATTATTTTAGAATGGATTAGCTGAATCTGTTTTGTCCTGTCACCTAAATTCAATGCAGCTTGACAATTACTTATGGAATCCTTGCTAAGGACAGATAAAAAATTTACAGAGGGTAAATGAAAATTGAAGACATCATTCACTATCTAGTTGGGTAGATATTCAAGCACAAAAAAGCAATGTGTTAATAACACAAGGTAGAATGAGATAGGTGTCTTAAGATGCATGAAACATTGTTCCTTGACCATTGTACTGTGAAACACTGGCCATCAGGAATGGGATACTACTGATGAGGAAAAGAGTGAAACACAGAAATCAGGAAGCCGCTCTATCAAACACTTGTGCAGTAAATCCTTCGCCTATACTGGTAGTTTCTGAATGGTACTAGGTAAGTCAGTCTGTTTTCAGGGTATAAGTGTGACAAGGCTGTTATTTACTTTTTTTTAATGTGTTACCTTTTAGAGCAGCTTTAGGTTTACAACAAACTTTGAAAGGAAGGTACAGAGATTTCCCCTATGTTCCTTACCTCAACAAAGAGCCCTCACACTGCAATGGAAAGTTCCTACATGCTATATCTAAGACCCCACACAACCAAAAATAAATGAATGAATAAATATTTTTTTAAACATTTGGAAGAAAGCTCATAGGCCATCTGACCAAGCCTTCCAGGAAAGGCTGAATTCCTTCAACAGAAAACTTAATCAAAAGACACAGCAGCAACATTTCTCTAAACAGGTCCATAAGTGATTTATTCACTTCCTCATGACCCAGTAGTCAATTCTTTATTCAGACAACACTGCTCATTTTTCTTATATCAAGAGAAAGTCTGCTCCCCTGCAATATCCCCCAGATGGCTTTATAGACCCTCCATTAGGAAAGCTCTCAGATGTGGAAACAGGTATCATGATCCATCACCTCTCTATTGCCCACCTCACCCCTCCACACCATTCTCTTCTGCAGCCCAATGCTATCAATTCCCTCAATATGTATCCCCTCAATTATTTTATTTTGTTAGAATGTAAAAATAATCAGTGACTGTAGTAGAAAATGGGTTTCCCTGGTGGCTCAGATGTTAAAGAATCTGCCTGCAATGAGGGAGACCTGGGTTTGATCCCTGGGTCGGGAAGATCCCTGGAGAAGGGAATGGCTACCCACTCCAGTATTCTTTTCTGGAGAATCCCATGGACAGAAAAGCCTCGTGGGCTACAGTCCATGGAGTTGCAAAGAGTCAGACATGACTGAGTGACTAACACTTTCACTTAATTCACTTTCCATAGTAGAAAATATACTAAAAAAGCATAGAGTAACAACTCTAGAAGCGTGTGGTCTGGTTAAAAATATATGTGATATGACACTATAAGAGCATAAAAGAGGGACATCAGAATGAAATTGGGTGACAGTGATACTGAGCTGACTGATGATGAATGAGTCGAAGGATAAGAGGCAGATCCAGAGAAGATAATCTGAAAAAGATCTTATAATGTTCAAAGCTTGCCCCACAGACCAGGGGTAGGAAAGGTCACAATATTTAGATGATGATAGGAGTTCTGTTTGATAAATGCTTCGTATGAAGGGCCAGTAAAAGATGAAAACTAAAGAGGTGTGTGAAAATCAGATCATGAAGGGCCTTACATGCTAAGCAAAAAAAGAAAATGTTATTTTTGTCCTAAAAGTTAAAGGAATACATAACACGTGTTTAAGAAAGGGAGCATTTTTATTACTGAAATGTCACTCCACTGAGAGGTGGAAAAATCAAAAAGAGCAACATAGGATCAGGAAGAAATCGGTTAAGCTGTTGCAGAGAGAGAAGTGATGAAAACCAAAGTGGCAGCAGGGTTGGAATGAAAGAGGAAAAGAAAAAATATATAAGAGATTAAATCACTATTACTGGTGTTTGATTGAAATATAGTGGTGAAGCTTCTGTTCAACATAGTGTGGAAAGTCTTAAAGCAGTTAGGCAAGGAAAAATAAAAGGCATCCAAATCAGAAAGGAAAAAGTAAAAGGATCTCTGTTTACAGATAATTTGCTCCTATACACAGCAAATTCTAAAGATTTCACCAAAAAAAAAAAAATTAGAACTAATTATGAATTCAGTAAAACTGCAGGATAGAAAATCAACAAACAAAAGCAAATTCCACATGGCAAAAACTACTGCAATATAGTAATTAGCCTCCAATTAAAATAAATAATTTAAAAAACAAGTTCCATTTCTATATGTTAACTATGAAATATCCAAAAGAAAATCAAGAAAGCAATCCCATCTGCAGTAACATCAAGAGCATAAAATACTTAGAAATAAACAACCAAATAGTTGGAAAAGCTCGTACAATGAAAACTGAACTACATTGAAGAAAGAAAGAAGAAAATAAAAATACAAATAAATGGAAAACACCTCATGTTCAGACTCAATCTTGTTGAGATATCCATACTATCCAAAGCAATCTACAGCTTAAATACTATTTCTATCAAAATCCCAATGGTATCTTTTTGTAGAAAAAAAATCCTAAAATTCATATGAAGTCACAAAAGATCTTGAATAACCAAAGCTATTTTGATCCTGAGATCTTGAGTAAGAAGAATAAAGTGGAGGTATCCTAATTTCAAAATGTATTACAAAGCTACAGTGATTAAAATAGTATGATACTAGAAGACCAAAACTGTCTGAATAATAAGTAGAAAAAAGTACAGAAAGGGAAAGCCACAGAATAGATGTTGGTCCAAAGGAAAGAAAAGTCTAACCATCATAAAAAAATCAAATTATTGGGTTTGCCAAAAAGTTCATCAGGTTTTTCCATAAGACTATGGAAAATTAGCCTTTTGGCCAACCCAATATATCTAAAGATGTCCAAGTAAATTAGGAACCTTCACCATAAGAACAAGTTTCCCTCATAGGAAATTAATTTTAATCAGACAATTGGCTAAGCAGTTTGGTTTTACCAAAAGAAAGGAAAAAAAATAGAAATGATCTTGGAAATGTTGGCCATTTCAACATTTTTTATAATGAGCCAAACAAATTACTTTCTAGTTAGAAGCAACTATACAAAATTCAGATGGAGAAAAATCAAGTTAGTGTCATGGAAATGCTTAAATTGATCAATTCCAGCCCTTAAAAACAGGCTGAGGAAAATTTCAAACATAGTCATGAGGTAATAACCATTATTGGCAAAGAAATAGACTGAGTGTTCCCATCTCAAATTGTTCTAACTTTTTAATTTACTCTTTCCCAAATAATTTGCTCCATAATGAGAGAATGTTTACCTTCTGATCCAAAGGAAGAGGGCCATATGTTTTTCCATCTACTTCTCTTTTAAAAAATAAGACAAAAGAAAAAAGCAAAAGACAATAAAAAGAAAATAATAGAATAGACCCTAATTGCTAGATAGTAATACTAAATAGATCTAGTTCCTTATACCAGGGGCTTGCTCACACAGGTACATAGACAAACCATTCTAACCTTGTGTTTTGTGTAAATAAATATCCTCTCCAGAGAGAGAAACATCTGAGATCCTGTTTCTAATTCAAAAACACACACATGGAAAGAGCTCCTAAAACTGTAAGGATATTTGCCCACTGTAAATAAAATACTCTGAGTATCTAGACCTGCAGTGGGTGATTTTTTTCCTTGTCATAATTTTCCAGATTCCACCAGAGGTCTATTGAAAGTGTGTTCCAGCAGATTCAAGAGTTAAGGCTACCTGAATAACAGGCTCAACTTGGCTCCAATGCTCCATTATCAAGGTGGGGAAGGGACACCTGCAGATTTCCCAGGGCCTTTGTTAGTAAAGGGATCTTAAAGGTGGTTCTAGTGGTGAAGAACCTGACTGCCATTGCAGGAAATACAAGAGACATGGGTTCGATCCCTGGGTCAGGAAAATCCCCTGGAGGAGGGCATGCAACCCACTCCTGAGACAGACTTGCAATACTGAGTTTCCATGGAAGGATTTAGGAATTGGGAAAGGAGGGGAGAATTTAAGTAACAGAATATTGGCATTCAGTATTATGCTAACTGGAACTGAAGTAAAACAAAATCCAGACCTCAAATAGACAATACGAAGCTCACTATAAGAAATGAACAAAATCCAAACATCTCCAGTGTAAAACGATGGCATAGAAACATTGTCCTGATCCTTCAAGCTTTCTAATCCTTTCTAGTTTTCATGATTATCCCAGTTCTTGCCAGAGCATTAAATGTGCTCATTAAATTTCTCTCTGATAGGCCAAACAAAATTAAGTCTTAGTGGTCAGGTTTATTTTTGTGCCCTTTATATTCCCCAAAAGTTTTGTTTTAAAAACTAAAGCTCTATTAATTCAGGCTAGTAGTCACTAGAATTCTGTCCTACCTTGGCCTTTTCCAATGATTTATTACAGTACCCAAGTGAAGTGCATATTTTTATTTCGTGCTTTAGTTGAATTTCTCTGTCTTAACACAGGAACAATAGTATGGCACCTATAATTTACCTTAACAGAGTTATGGTAAATGTTCTGCAAACACTTAGCTCATGGATATTTTTCTGAATATTCCTGAATAT